TAACACGTCAATTACTTAGTTAACAAACAAAAACCAGCGGTTTCGTTATGTTATCGAAAAAACCTTTGGCTACTCATCACTAGTTTCCAGTAAAAAGGGACTCCGTTTCCCTAATTACCAAAAAAAAAAAACAGCGACATTTGATGATAGTATTCTGTGAGGGCGTGGTCAATCACCGGCGAGTTGACTCGTACATGCTACACTACAACCATAATATAGCCGCAACGTGCTCCACCATGTTGACTAATTGTTACTTACTATTCACAATAGACGCATGAATGACCGTTTTAACTGGAAATATCACATTAACAGCTAGTGATTAAACGAAGAGCGCTTTTAATGTGATTTAAATTTGAAAAAAAAAAAACTCCTTTGCCAATTGCAATTATAAAATTAGGAGTGTATAAAGCTAAACGCACATTTGTCAGCACCCTACGCGCCGAATTTTAGAATTCGTTGTATATAATTACATGAAACCACGCACATTACAGCTGCTCCGTACGCGCCGGATTTTATAAAATGCGGTAGGTATCCGAATATTGACGCATGTTGATAATGTTATATGATACGGCGCGTTCGGCGGGTGCTGATACTCATTGTTGTCTAGTGTTACCAACTTAGTGGGTTTTCCACTAAAACTGGTGGTTTCGACTTTCGTTTCGAAATATATTTTTACTTCATTTTAGGAGCATTTTCCGTTACTGTGTAGGCAACAATGAGTCGTCGTCACACAAGACTGTAATTTTTAATTGAATACTTAGCGACAAAATAGTTTAAATACAATAAAAAATTGATGTGTAATTTTAAATCAAAATTATACCTGATTACTTAATTATCCATAAAAATACTTTTTTTATAGGATAGGGGGACAAACGAGCACACAGTCCACCTGATGGTAAGTGGTTGCTGTGGCCAATAGATCTACATCTATCCCTGATTACGAATGAAAATGCAGATGCGTTGTCTGTCACCCGTGAGGACTTAGATGGAATGCCTCGTTTCCAGTAAAAACGGTCTCCGGTTCTCTACACTCACCACATGAAACACAGCAGCATTAAGCTACTATTTGACGCTGGTATTCTGTGAGAGCGTGGTCCTTCCCCGGTCGAGCCGACTCATTAGTGCTACAACTATACTACTAATATAACTGTAGCATGGCTCTAACACGTAAAACTTACCTCAAACTTATAACAAGTCTTTCCTCTGGTTCAGTTGGCCTTCTAAATTGTGAGTTTTCCATAGAGATATGGTTTTAGTACGTACATGCAGCTATTCTTGAATTGTTTTGTATGTTAAATGCAAATATCTTAATATCGTTCATCATCATCTAATAAGTCTAAATAAAGTACAATATACTTGATACAATTGTCTTTTTAAATTAATATTATGAATTCATAATCTTTTCTTCGAATTTTATATCCTTCCTCTGCCAATAAGCAGGCTATTGCAACAATTTGTTTCACACCAGTGGTTGGAAAAATCTGTAAAAATTGTTGACGATACAAAATAATTGCGTACGTACAAATGTGCGAAGACATCCGAAAATGCGGCGCGTTTGGTTCGGGCAAATGTACGTTCAGCTTAATTTTTTGTTAAGTATATCAGTCTGCCATGTAAACATTAAACTATCTGACGATCTTTAATTAGGATCAATTAATGCATAAGTGTGTAAAAATAAAACTACAATATAAAAATAATTATCATCTCTTGTTCAACTACTGTAAATTAATCTCAGTACCTACTTAACAAAATTGAATACCTTTAACATCGGAACAATATTTTGTTGAATAGTTACGGCAAAAATGAGAATTTACTTTATAATACTATCCCATCTGTAATTAACTATCCATCGGCGTATCGGAGAGAAGTAGCTATACGCAGGCATTCCACTCTGTCAAAGTATAAGTCCACGCGGTCCTATGCTTACAATAAAACTAGTTGCACCGCACTGTTCAGAAGACTAAATCTAATTGCGCGGCTGAATCAACGTTCTACAAAAATGTCGAATAGTTTAGTTTTATGAACCAAAAAGAGATCTGCCAGATCAAAATTACAAAAAGACCTTTCAAATATAAGTATTTTTAATCACAATATTGCTACTTACTTCTTTTTAAATAACAATAAAAACTGACGTGTTGTTTCGGATTTGTTTACCAACACAGGTCTCTCGCACTCATACAATATGCAGATCGGTCGAGCGACTGATCAGAGTCCGTATCAGAGTTGTCGCTGTCATAATCTTATAATGTACCTGGGTGTGTGAAGTTGTTAGTATATTGTCTTAATTTTAATGTGCGAGTTTCGTATCGACAGAGGATTGTTTTTGTGTGCGCAGATTTCCCCGCTCAAAAAATGATACAGTTCTGTATCAAAAAAAAAAAATACTATGGCTACTCCCCTCCGATCCGCCGGTATCCCGTGTCGCTCTATGATAGCTCCTCCATATGATCTTATATGATCTCTAGGAAAAATTTAGAGGGAATGCAATAAAAAGGTTTTATTTCTCCTGCTGTTGTAATGATCGTGTGTACTGGCTACAAACATTAGTAACTGCTATTAAAAAGGAGAAAGTTTTGGTTTCGATTTTTTGTTTTCGATTTTTTTTTGTTATTTGTATGGATCGGTTTGTTCAGCAAACAAAAAGGCACCGACTCATTGGTGCCAAATGTTTATGGAGCACCAACGCGAACTCATGCGTGCCGTGCGTCCGTGCAGTGTTTCCACTTTTAGATATTTAGTACTATTAGTAAAGTATATATTTAGTACTATGAGTAAAGCTACTAATATAGGTAGGGCTTTAGGCGTTTCTGCAAGTTGACAGAGTTTTAGATAATTTGGGGTGAAATCAAACTTAAGGTAACCCTGTTTTCTATACCCACCCAATGTAATTTTTTTAAAAGATTTATCGAAAGGGATAGAAAAGTGTAGAATGAAAAAGTTATTAATTCTATATATCGGAATATTGGTATAATATTTTACTTAGTTACATACTGCGGCCGTAGTTGTCGAATACCTTCTAGACGTTAAAATCAATGATATGGGGATGGCCAGCGTGCTCGCCTGGCTTAAACCGCATAGAGCATGTATGTGATAAGCTTGGAAAACAAATGAAGTGAAGAAATCCTGTCCCCACTAATTTGAGAGATCTTAAAAACGCATTACATGGAGGATGAAACACAATCTCCCAAGATTTTATTGATTACTTGATTAAGACCAAAGATTTAATAGTTAGATGCGCCTTCTCCTTGAAAACTATGACATTATTTTTGTATGTGTTCGTCTGCAAGACGCTGACGCGCGCACACTAATGCAATAATGTCATCTCTTATTATCTTACAGAAATCGTGTATACTACTTTCTCTGTCGCACAAATGAGCACTGATTACGAATGAGTGAGCTCACTCATTTGAGAATGGACACATTTCGGAGTGGTCATACTATGGTAAGGGCACATCTAACTATTTAAATCGTTGATTAAGACTATGCCAAGGAGACAGGAAGTAGTTCGAAGAGCTATACAGGAGGCAACACTAAGTACTGATTATAGCTCAGGTAAAAAAACATTAAGTACAAAAATGTTTCTTTTTTTTTCTTCATAATTTGGTAAATTTTTATCATTTGGTCGTTTGTTTTTTGACGTTTGTAATTTTAAATTACCGAATAATAAGTAAAATCCAAACTAATAAACTTAACTGTCACAAAAATATATAATATTATGTTTTATACACACTTTGTCTTGCGTTCCTCTAAATTTGTCTGAGCGTAAATATAATGGGTGAGTTTGGCGCTAGCAAGCGCTTGTAAGCAAAATGGCGAAACTAAACAGTTTTCGGCTAGGACACGTTTGCTAACTTCAGTAGTCACAATCCGCCATTTTGCTTATTTAATTTGTTTGTTTTGAAGTAGAGTTTATAAGTTGTTTTGTGCAATATTAGTTTTAAGTAATATAATGACATGAATAGACATATACACGTTATTAAAAATTCGTGATTGGTAAGTTTTTAATATGAATACTTTACAAACATATATTTAAATTAGGTTAGGTTCCCCGGTTAAAACTAACTTCGTGTCCTAGAGGAAAATAGCTAATTACGATTTGATAGCGCTTACCGCTTACGATCGCCGTTTTGCTTACAAGCGCTTGCTAGCGCTTTTTTCTGCCAAACGCACCCAATATTTAACAAATAACATTGTTGGACCGAACCAGCTGGCCAGCATATGGTGCTTTTTCGTAGGATATGGGTGAAAAATGAGTAGTCCTGGACACCTGATTTCCAATCCAAAGTCATCTAGTCCAAAGCCATCTACGTCTATCCTCGATTAAAAATCAAAATTCAGATGCGTTGTTCCTCTGAGGTCTCGTTTCCAGTAAAAAATATACCATGCACTCTAGGCTGCTGCTAACGTGTTATTTCATATATTTTTATTTTGTAATGTTAGTTAAAATATTATAATAATAATATAAAATTGGCCTTTACAAAGCACTTTTTGAAAGTCAAGAAAAGTTTAAAATCTTTAATATTTAATTTATAACATTAATAATGTAAGTCTGTACTACAGTTAAGGGGCCGTTCATTAATCATGTGATGTTGTTTTAGCCTTGTTTGTTAACGTGGTGAGGTGTAAGACTAACCCCCCCCCCCTCCACCAAAATCACGTGTATTTTTAGTACCTATAAAGTATAATCTAGTTTTATTCTGAAATTAAGAACCATGATAAAAATGTCTTTAGTTCATAAAAGATAGCTTGATCTCTGCGGCAGCTGTCAGTTAAATCACGCCTATTACAGTGCTGCATGGATCTTTTGGCACGTGGCTATAATCGGAACTAAACGCCGTCATTGCCGCCATCTTGTAAAACGTCAGTTTAGACAGCCGGCTCAAGTCGTTGTTGTATACCGTTATTTATTGCTTTTAGTGCCGTTTATAAATCTCAAAATATGCCGAAATTGATAAGAAGTGGTACTAGAGAGGTGGTGCTAAATGTGAAGAGATTTTTTTATGAAGGAAAAGCAATCTAGCGCCCCTGTTATTCCATTTGAAAGAGTAAATGAGCGCGTTGCAGCTGCTACAGGTAAGTGATGCCATACATAGTATCCTTAGTTTGCTCTTTTTATTTACCAAGGATAGTGGTCATATTTTGTAGGCATATTATGAGATATATTTTCTCCTTCAAATTGATAAAAATAAATACGATTTCAGGTATATCTTTACGAACAGTTGCAAGAATTACAAATGAAGGGAAATTAGCTGAAGAATCGTCAAGTAAAATAGTAACACCGGGGAAAAAAAGAAAAACAAGGAAGGATAAAATTGTTATGGACAATTTTGATATTGGTGTTCTTAGACGAAAGATCCATGAGTTTTATTCTTGTAAAAAAGAAATACCAACAGTGAATAAGTTGCTTCGTCTACTTAAAGAAGAGATTGGATTCACTGGCAGTAGAGAAATTCTCAGACAGCACATAAAAAAGATTGGTTTTCGATATAAAAAAACTAAAAGCAATAGAAAAGTACTGATGAAACTTAACGATATAACTGCTTGGCGCGCTCTTTATCTTCAGGTAGGTACATTTATTTTCTATTCATAATGTATTTTAAATTAAAGTGACACACTTATTCATGAGTAACATAGAATTATTTTATTTCAGACTATAAAGCGTAATGACGAGACAGAAAAATTACCAGTTGTTTACTTAGATGAGACATATATTAACTCCGGTCATACAGCTGGTAAATGTTGGCAGGATGATGATGAAGCTATTGTTTAGTTAACTATCTCATAATATTTATAGTCTAGTTAATTAGTGTTATTTGAATTTGTTAATGTACAAACGATTGATTTCAGATGGAGTATTAGAGCCTGTCTCCAAAGGACAAAGATTTATTATTGTCCATGCCGGAGGTAATGAAGGTTTTGTAGAGAATGCATGTTTGGTGTTCAAGTCACAAACAAAAAATGGTGATTACCATGATGATATGAATCACACAAATTTTAAAAAATGGGTTGCAGAAAAGTTAGCTCCCAATTTGACAAAACCCAGTTTAATTATAATGGACAACGCTCCATATCACAACACACGCATCAACAAACCCTCAAACACAACTACCAGAAAACCAGAAATAATTGAGTGGTTACAAAATAAAATATTGAATATTCAGAAGAATAAAAAATTGTTGGAAATTTATATTATGTTTTAAAAAAGTAATGATGGTGACTTCATAAATTGTTATTTTTTATTAAAATAAATGACTATGGGTTTATTTAAAATTGCTTATTTTCTTTTTCAGATAACGCGTTTACCACCGTATCATTGTGACCTCAATCCTATTGAAATGATCTGGGCATCAATGAAACGCAAAGTAGCTGAGGTAAATATTGGCAAACCAGCCAATCAAATGCCAGAAATGGTACAGGAAGCTTTTAATTCCATTCCCGTCGAAGAATGGTGCAATCATTGTGCCCACGTCAAGAAACTTGAAGAAGAATACAGAAGTAAAGATGGATATTTGGATGCACCTTTCATCGTGGAATTATGCTCTGAGAGTGAAGAAAGCAGTGATGACGATTCTCAAGATGAAAGTGATGAAGAATTTAATAGCATTGAACCTCTCGCCATAGTTCATTCTGAACATAATTATAGTAAAAAAATTTGAAATATTGTTTTTTATTTCGTTTACTATTGCATTATAGTTTTCATGTTATAAATTCTGTGATCCAAATATTTCCTTCTTTTAATTTAAGACTTTCTATTCTATTAGCAAGACTTTCTTCAACACTAACAACTGGATAAGCATGTTGCAAGTCAGTTGTTGGTACTGTGCTTTGTTGAAGATTAGCGTCGGTTTCATCAAGCCACTCGGCGTCATCATTTTCACAAACTACACAGAGAATCTCTCTCGATCTTCCGATCGATCGTCGCGTGGGGATGCGTGAAGGACGAACATTGTGCATCTCTAGACTTTTATTGCTCGGGTTAGGTTCATGCTTGTGACATGAAACTACATGTACAGGCGAGTCAAGGTCACATTACCTACACTACACGACGCTTTTTGGTTTATAAATCACGCGTTTGACGAAAAAATAAATACACGTGATAATCTTACTACACCCCCCTTGTGATATTTCGTGATTTTTGTCAACCGGGGGGGGGGTTCCCCTCCTTTCGAGCCTCATGTGATTAATGGACGGCCCCTAAACTATCTTAGTTTTTATCATAGTCTATATTGTTATAAATATAACGTACAGTCTTTACAGTGCACAGAAAATAGACAACAAACATTATTGGATATAAAATTAAAAAAAAACATTCTTTTAATAATTATTGATCAGTAATAAAAACGGCAGTGCTAATCTTTGTTATATTTACACATATTTATACTCGGACTAATAAAAATTAGTTGATATTTACACAACCTTTTTGGTATGCATGTACTACAGGTCCTAAGCAAATGGTAAATAATTAAAATTTCGTAAGGTAAAATACATAAATCTCATATTAGGCATACTGTAAGAATTGTTGAGTATATACAATTATTAAATAAAATATGCGATTATGTGCAATTTTGTCAATATGATGAATAATTAATCATAAAATCGGATTTTGAGCGCTAACCTGCACATCTACGCAACAAACTCCACTAAAATAATTCAGCGCTTTAAAACACATAGCCATATATTTATGTATATTTTCATAACTTACAATTTGCCCGAATTTTAAAAATATCTCTTTTTTAATAAATAGGCAACTGTAACATACAAAAATAAAACAATAATCAAGATACATTTTTTCGATGACAATAACATTTTATAAAAATGCAAACGTTACTATTATATAGTAATGTAGTTTGAAAATAAAACAATATTTGACGTTCCAAACAAGATTATCAAACTCTCCGAAAAACCTATTTTTACTAGCTTGGATATTATCCACCGCACTTATGTCAACTTTTGCGTTGTTGTGTTGGCAAATGCCAGACTGTGAGAATAATACCAATTATTGTGCCAAGAAAAGCCGCTACGCAAGCTCCGCTTTCGAATAGCAGTTTCGGCGTGAAAACTCCCCATATCATTAGATGTCTGCAGTGAATTGTTGCCGATAAAGCGCACACAAACACCTGGAAGTAAAAAGTTACCATTAAAACCTATCAAAAGTCCATAGCTGAACATGGAGGTTAGAGAACAGGAGAACGATCGCTACGTACTAAAACATAGCCCGCCTGTCCTTGAAAATTGTAGAATTTATAGCGGCGCTGCCGTCGGTGAGTAGTGACTGCGAAGTTAGCTGTTTATGAGTACAAGTAGATGAAGTTAGTTGAATAATGTACAAATTGTTTATAAAACATGGAGAAATATTTTATTGTGCGTGGATGTGCAAGTGGTTTAGCATCTGATCGGAAAAATAGACTGAAATTGTTCCTGAAAAACTTCCTATTGTTGTCGATTCTTCGAGCTATATTGCCACTTCAGCTTTCGGGACCATTGACCTGGATCGACGTTGAGCTTACTCTTTTACGACGAATTTTCTCGTACGACGAATACAGCATATAGAGTCCAATGCAGCGGTGAAGATTTTCGGGGATATAACTGGGATATAACTTATTACACCTCCCTGCAGTTGAATGGGTTTCGTACTATTTTCTTGTACTCGGATAACCATCATTGTCCTAATGTACAAGCACTTCAGCATTTCGATATACCGATAATCAACTTGGCAACGCTGAAGGGACTGTAGCACCGCAAAAATTTCGATGGATTCAAAGGCTTTTCCATAATCCACAACATACGATAGACGAAGTAGCAGATTGTACTCTTAAATTTTCAGTACAATGCGGTGTATGTCGCCAAAGACTTGACGGAAACATGTTTGTTCATGAGGCTATAAGTAGTCAAGTCTGCGTACGAGACTGAAGATAATATAGATATACATATAATAATAATGATAAACATTTATCAAAAATAAATTATAACTATGTGTCTTACCCTGATTGCGAAGCAGAGCGCGAATTTCAGACATAAAGAAAACACAGCTGCGAGTTGCGTACGTGGGCCCAATGTGGACACTCCATTTCGCCCCCATAGCGCGAGTAAAGGTACTGTTGCTCCAAACATTAATGGCATACCTATTGTAAAATGAATTAAAAAATAGTTTTCAACTTTGGTCCTTCTAGTTGAGAAGAAGTATTCTTCGTCACTTAATTTAACTACTATCTTTATTTAATAAAATGGATTTGAAGCATCATCAAAAGCAAACAACAGTAAACTATAATTCTTCTAAAGTATTTCGTTATGTAATGATTTCTTATATTTACGCGAACACTATACATTGATTAAAACTACTTTTACGGATTTTATCGCGTTTTATTTATATTAATTTTAATACCCGACGTTTCGGGTGCTTTCCAGCACCCATGGTCACGGGGGACTGAGGTGACTGACGTCCTGATGTCAAAGTTAACCCGGAGTACCTTCAGCTTTTTAATTATTGTTTTTGGTCCAATCTACGCAGAATGAACTAACTGTACGAGGGTGGATTGAAAAGTACTCGGCCTAACCAAGAAAATAAACACATACTAAATCAGTTATATTTTTATTTTTCTACATAATCACCATCAACTTCAATACACTTTTGCCACCTCCCCTTCCAAGCATTTAGACCGTTGAAAAAAAATGATTCTTCCTTAGAGTCAAAATATGCGTCTACAGCTGCTTTGACCTCGTCATTTGTCGAAAATCTTTGACCTCCCAAGTGTTTTTTTAGGTTAGGGAACAGAAAGAAGTCTGATGGTGCCAGATCAGGTGAATACGGCGAATGCGGTAACAGTTCAAAGCCACAGTTGTGAATTTCAGCCATTGACTGTACTGACGTGTGAACACGGGCGTTATCTTGATGAAACAGGACTTTTCTTCTGAGCATTCCTTGACGTTTTTCTTTTATTTCCTCTCGTAAACGACGTAGTAAGGTGCAGTAGTAATCAGAGTTTATAGTCTGACCCCTTTCAAGATAATCAATCATAATCACACCTTTCGAGCCCCAGAATACTGAAGCCATCACCTTATTTGCCGACAAAATCGACTTAGCCTTTTTTAGGGGGTGGTGAACTAGGTCTTCTCCACTGTTTTGATTGTTGTTTTGTTTCCGGTGTACAGTAATGAACCCATGTTTCGTCCATAGTAACAAAATGATTCAAAAAATCATCTGCATCGGCTTCAAATAACTCCAAACAGTCGCGTGAAATAGTCAATCGCGTCCTTTTTTGTTCAACTGAAAGCAGTCGCGGAACCCACCTCGCAGACACCTTGTGGAAACCCAACTCGTTGACAATGATGTTTTGAGTTCGTTCATAAGAAATGCCTATAATCTCGGCTATCTCTTTAATTTTTAATTTGCGGTCTCCCATTATTAAATCAAGTACTTTTTTAATATTTTCGTCAGTAGTTGACGTCCAAGGCCTTCCAGAGCGGGGTTCATCTTTCACACTCTCTCTACCACGCTTAAATTCTGCTATCCATTTTTTGACGGATGAATATGACAGAGCACAATTGCCTAATGTACTGACCATGTCATCATGGATGGCTTTTGATGATAGCCCCTTCTTATGGAGGTACTTAATGACGGCACGCTGCTCGATTTGCTCCATTCGCGGAAATTATGTCCGATTACTTTGTTAATAAATTTATAAAATCACAACTAATTATCGCACACGTTTCGAACTTCACACAATGAACTAGTCTGAACTGAACTAAATAATGTGGGTAGATTTGATTTTTAGAATTGAATGGATCTGTGTTAGGCCGAGTACTTTTCAATCCACCCTCGTATTTTGAAGTCTTGCAGTTGTATGCTTGGGTTTAGTTTTAATTTTATTAATTATAGGATCCCAAGCAGGTGGTAGTACCCAGCCTCCTTCTCTATTGAAATTAGGATGTTTTTTAATTTCAATAGCCTCACGTATCATCCTTGGTAGGAATCGATGTTCTTTCGCGAGGATTTGTGGTCTATCAAATCTGATGTAATGGTTGGGGCCATCTAGAATATGATCGCAAACTGCAGACTTCCCGGAACGTTGATGCTTCACGTCAGCTATGTGTTCTTTTACGCGGGTTCTAATTGATCTCTTTGTTTGCCCTATATATGAGAGACCACAATCACAATCAAGCTTGTACACTCCTGCATCTTGTAGAGGAATATGACACTTGACGGATGGTAAGAACTAACTAATCTTCTTCGGCGGCTTGTAGAATGTTCTAATAGAAGCTCGCTTCAAGATGTAGCCAATCTTGTCTGTGACACCTCTGACATATGGTAGTATAGCAGGCACACGCTCGACTGTGGCCGGCTTCACTTGGTCACCGTGACGGAGGCGCGGGACCCGAAGCTTGTTGTCGTGCAGAACCTGCTTGACGTGATGAAGCTCGGCGGCCAGGTGTTTGCTGTCACAGATCCCTCGTGCTCTCTGAAACAAAGATTTGCCCACGGTAGCTAACTGTGAAGGATGGTGGTGAGATTCACCGTTTAAATATCGGTTTGTATGGGTCTTTTTTCTATACACAGTATGACCTATGGTGTTGTTAGGATTTCGGATGACTAACACATCTAGGAAAGCTAAGGAATTATTTGCCTCTAACTCCATAGTAAATTGAATTTTAGGTTTAATGGAATTAAGATGTTCTAAAAAATGCAGTTACTTTGTCTGATGGTAAAATTGTGAAGTATCGTCTACGTACCGCTTGTAGAACCTTGGGGTAACAGGTGCAGTAAGGAGGGTTTCTCCTCAAAGTCTTCCATGAATATATCGTCGACAATGGGAGATACAGGTGAGCTCAACACCATCTACTTGCTTGTAAAACTCTTCCTTCCACAATAGATAGCCAGATGTAAGGCAATGTCTTAGTAGCACTGCATATTCTGGTGGCATGTTATTTTCATCTAGTTTCCTAGTTATAATTGAGATGCAGTCTTCAACAGGTAGGCATGTAAATAGAGACAGAACATCAAAACTGACCATGGTTTAATTGTCAGCAAGAGGTAGGTCTTTTATCTCACTGACAAAATGGTATGAATCCTTAGTATGTGCTCTTGTGTGTCCTCTGAGTGGTGATAATTTTTTGGCTAAGTGTTGAGCCAATCTGTACGTTGGCGAATCGATTTGACTCACTATTGGACGTAGTGGAGCGTTAGGTTTGTGTATTTTTGGTAACCCATACAACTTGGGAGGTTTTGCACACGAAGGTATTATCGAATTGACGTCTGTCCCCCGTGACCATGGGTGCTGGAAAGCACCCGAAACGTCGGGTATTAAAATTAATATAAATAAAACGCGATAAAATCCGTAAAAGTAGTTTTAATCAATATTTCGTTATGTTTTGACGTAATAGGAATCTATTTCTGAAACCGAGGGTGTCGTAAAAGTTAACACTGAGAAGTGCCCAATCCGTTTGTAGAATTAACAGATGATGAAATAAGAATAATAAAAAATTCCACACCCAAAATACCAAGGGAGCAGAGTTTTAGTCACAAGGCTCATATCTGATATTATAATTGTTAGTTTATCCGTCAAATGGTGGATGATGGTATAACAAATCTCAAATAGGGTGGGTACTATATCCAGCAGTAGATTTTTAAAATCGATAAAAATAATGACTTTATTTCTTTCTAAAATCTATTTAGGAAATAAAAATTCAATCCTGGGCCTTGACGACGCGACGCTCTGTGTTGCTATGATCGCCAAATAGTGAAAATTAATTTTTAACCCTTTAATACACATAATGGAATCTAAATACTTATCAGCACTTTAATAACTGCCGATTAGGTTTATTTGTTAGAAAAAGATAACATAACAAAAAAATAAATTGAACTTAAGACAGTAAATAATTAAAGGGCCACTTTAATAGGTCAAATTTAACACTTCGTCAAAATAAATTTGTAATGGCACGCAATATTATTTATTTTCACAAAATTAGAACGACTCAACAGAACAACTTTTTTGGTTACTAAATATATACTTATTTTAATAATGAAAAAGTAGTCAAATTTACGACTTACTTTGACTGATATACATTTCTCAACATCATATTTTTTTAATTCTAAATAAAATGAACGTCGTTACAAGGTTACGTTTGTATAGCCGTTTCACTAAGGATGTTTCACAAAAAATCGACAGATTCTTATCAAGTCAGCAATTTGTAAACAATGACAATGAAAACTGTATTTTTTAGTCTTCTCTCTGCTATTTTCTTCAGACTCGGCTTTTTCATTGAACTGTTCTTACTTTGACCTTTACCTGGCTATAATATGGACTCCGATTGATTAAGGATTTGTACTGTTTGTATTGTTACGATACCGAAACGAGGAAAAATTTTATACAGACAATCTCACGAACCCGTCGCGAAATTCCAAAACAATTCTGAGCGTGAATCTGACAATGGTGGACCTCTTTTACTTGTGACACAAGCGAGATAACGTGTTGCCGAAGTACTAAGAATAAGAAAGAAAACTGTAACCCAAATTCTGATATAGAAATACGGATAGTCAGGCTTAGGAGAAAAATTACTTTACGTACCTACACCTAAGAAATGGTAGAGACAAGAAAGTTATTGGTATTGACAGAAAGGCAGGGATATTGTATTTAATATGGGATATTGTATGTAATATGGGATATTATATATAATATGGGATAACATACGGAGAAAGTCTTTAACCTCTCAAACGTCAAGCGTCCAAATTTGACCGCTTCGATATTCCGTCAAAACGCAAGAGGTCAAATTTGACCACACCCACCCACAGGACTTTAACCCATAAATACTTATGTTTAGAGACTACTTTCTATGAAGAAGTTTAGCATTATATAATGAATATGAAATTTTCTATCCTCTAGTAGAATAAAAAGTTAGGTAGTCTATGGATATTTATTTATAATCTACGTTCATTTCGTAAGCCATTCGTGTGAATTTTACTGTGTTGATTTTTGAATTTTTCTAGTGTTTTATTAGTGTTTTAGTATAGTGTTTTATTATAAAATTGTAATGAAAGTTTTTGTGTGAATATAATTTATCTTTTTACGTAAATAATTTCGAGTAATATATATTAAAATAATTGTGATTTTCACGCTGCCGACATCCG